TAAGCCCTTTTGCCTGTAAATTAATCTGGTAGTTTGTGGGTTCTTTATTTGAGAGGTTTTTTATGTGCGTTTTGTTCGCCTCTAGTTTGATAGTTGAACGTGTTTGGCAAGACCGCGGTTTTGATCCTAATCTTGTGGATCTCGTCAGTTGCTGATTCACTGAATAGATTGTTGCACCCGTACGCAATACAATGTCTAACCATGACGAGAACACGCTGTATCCTTAAGAACATGAATAAAAATACCTCCAAACCTAGCCGTTTGCTTCGATTTTACTTGAAAGTTTTACCTGTGTGACCCGATTGCCTCGTTTCGAAACTTCAAAGTCCGCTGAGCTCTCGTACAGTGAGCATAAATGCGATAAGGGCTATTCTTTTGCTACAATGTATCAGTGTTATGTTATAAAACAAATGGTAAACGCCACAGTGTATACTATTGAGTTATGTATGCACTTGGGAGGTTTGCTAAGCGCTCAAGAAGCTTGAATCGCTTTAGGCCATCACCTCGCGCGTAGGAATGAACAGATTGTGCTAGGAAATCCAGCAAAAGTTGCTCGACAATACACCCAAAAGTTGCTCAAAAATTTAAAAGTTGCCACCCAAATTTAAAAAAGTTGCTTACTTTTGAGAGTCATTTTGTTCTAGATTACTACTCAAAACATGAAGTTGTATATATAATTTAACACCATTTGTTGCAATCAATATAATCTCAACACAACTAATAACAGAAGGTATTTTCTAATGACGTTTTGGATAGTCTTTCTCACGATCCGAAGCGCATGATGCGTTTCCTTTCCCTGAGGACGAGGTCGAGCTACCGCTTCTCGTTGTTTGTATTTGCCTTCCTTGACGTGAATTTTGCGCTTTCTAGAAATTGAAGCTCTTGCAGGACTATGAAGAGTTTCCCCAGCAGCTATGGTAACCTTAATAGGGTCAATATCTTTATTATTTTCATTTTCCTCGTCAGACATTTCAGCTTCTAATTGTGATGCCTCGCACGCGCATGAAGCTCTATGGTTGGAGCGAATAACTGCTGGATGTAAGCGCCCGTTAGTAGATAGCTGCTGTCCAGTTTGGGCGCACGTGTTATTTTATAAATTATTGTAAGAACGTACGACATCCTTAGTTTTGACCAGTTTTAATGGAAAAAAAAACATTTTGATAAAGACCTTTTTGATGGTTTGGTCAGTTTTTAACTATTTGTTGACTCAAAAGTTGCCAAGGAAGGCAAAAGTTGCTCTAGGTTGCTGACCGTTGCTCGCAATACAAAAAGTTGCTGAAAACGCTCAAAATTGCTAAAAAGTTGCCGAGCACAATCTAATTATGCCTACTCGCGCGACTCTTACGCTTCTTTCGTACTTAGCAACCTCCCGCGTGCATCCATAACTCAATAGTGTACGCTGTGGTGTTAACTATTTCTTAAATTGAAGAAAGCAGACACACTCACCAGTTGGGAGGTGTTCTCCTGTTTTCACACTAAATTCTCCCTCGTCACCAACGAAAAAAAGAGCAGGAGCTAAAGGAGAGAAATACGAGTTCGTGGATAATTTTTTCTTCCCAGGCATTTTTGTGCTGAACGTAGCCGTCCTTCTACTTAACAATGAGCTCACAGAAGCGGGGCACATCCTTAAACGCAGTTCGTACGTTCATCTCTTACTCTTCAATGCGGCTTCGTTTATTCTGGCAAATGCAGTGACACACGTTGGCGCGCAAGCTATTGGAGATGTCGAGGGAGCCCTGGAGACGAGTTATGTGTCAAGTACAGTGTTTCTCCTTGGCGTCTATAGAACAGTATTCCTATCACTGGACTCGCTATATTTTGCCTACGTGAACATCGGAGACAACAATGACATATCCATGGACAAATTAAGACTCAGAGAAAAGACAGTAATAACAATTGTCTAAGATCGATGAAGGTTGTTCCAGGCGTTGAGAATGAAGAGGAAATAAAAAGAAATACAGTGTACGAGAATGGGAAAGGCGCTACGCTGCCTTTGAGCTGTTAGTTATAAGAGGTAGTTGGGCGCTGTATAGAGAGTCGCAGGTGGATGCTTATGGTAAAAGATGCAAAATACAGTGGTATAAGCAGCAAGGGAGTGTTTATGTATTTTTCTTTCTCGTTAAACGAGCATTTTGTCATCTCTAGAACCATTTCACTCCCAAGATCTCTCTAGTAATACTCCCTACTGTCTGTCTAATACCTCTTGTGATTTTATCTCGGAAAAATTTGGTATTGGATCAACTAATATCCCCCTTGTTCATATTTCGATAGCATTTTGTCCTTTCTTTAACCATTTCATTCCCAATATCTCTTTAGCAATTTTCCTTTCTGCCCGTCATACACTTCTTATGATTTTACCTCGGGAAACAATTCAGTGGTATTGAATCAACTAGTGTTCCCCTTGTTGATATTTCTCTTTATTCTCATCACTTGTCTTCTTGATATTGAATTGATATTGTAAGGAGAAATTCTGTCTTAGTCACCCATAGAAGTCAAAGAGTGGATAAAATGGTATTTTTACACGCCGCAACATATTGTTACCTAGTTCCTTCAATTCAAAACAATGTCTGAATTCGGGCAGAGGCGAAAATTCCCTCATTGTAATTTCAAGAAGAAATTGAGTGGGACTTTTATTTATTTCTAAGCTCCTGTGAGCGGAAATAACTTACACGGTGCTCACTTCTAGATCTGACGTTAAGAACCCTGTTTGACACTTTTAGAAAACAAAACAAAAACCTACAACTGCAGCAGGGTATGATGCAATCCGCCGCAAAAGTTTAACTTTCTAAAGAGAAATGGTTTAAAGCTGCGTGCAAACATTTTTTTTTTCATGTCAACAACAGTAAAAGGATGGCAAGGGATATATGTCTATGGATCATACCGCCAAGGAGACTTCTGATAAGCTGAGAAGCTCGTTTTACCAACAAAACTTCTCCGTTGGCGCATCATAAATTCCAACATTGCGATTCAGTGTCATCCAACACAACGAAAGTAAAGCCTAATGGAATTCGAAGTTATGCGCTCTCGGTGGGAAAGACAACATGCCATTTGCGACGCTTATGGTAGCTAAATTTTCATTGCTTTTACATAATCTGATTCAAGTGAAATTTTCGCACCCAGAGAGAAAATAAGCTTTTATGCACAATTAGTATTTGGAATAATTCTCGTAGTTTGTTTTGTAGCTTAGGGTTTAAAGAAGTGGAAACTATTTCAATCCGGTTAACGGTCGATCAAAACTTACAAAATGTGCCAAAAAAGTGTCCTTTACGGTCAGACAGTTATTGAAATGTGATGAAAATAAAATCCTAGTTCTTTGACACATGTGCTTTTTACTCGAACAGACAAACACGGCCAATTAATTGCGTTTTTTTTCTGTCTACCTTTCAGTCTTCGGAAGCTTACCATCATCATCGACCAACGCTGGGAGGAAAAACTAGCCAGAATAAACAAACTTAGAATCAAACATAAACGAGTTTTCGCTTTAATTCAACAGTAATCCTCACAGAATCAATAAATTAATTCTTTCACTCAGTAATAGAGCGGAACGGATTGATCGATTTGCAACAGCCATTTACAAACCCTTGCGTCACTTGAAGTCAATTTTGCCGTGTGAAACAGAGAAAGCTGCTTTACATAAACACAAAATGGCAGTAGCAAACGTGAAAGAAGGGTGTTATTGGAAAAGCCAAAAGAAAGGGTGCCTGAGGAATAAGAAAAATAACAGATGGAAACATAGATTATGACACATGTAAGATTATCTTTTTTCAATATCCACAGACTTCGACATTTTAAACTGCCATAAGCCTGTTTCAAACACACGTAAAAAGAATTGAGCAAAATTAATTCTTCATGCGTTTATCTCGTTATACTCGTGAATTCCGAATCAAATTATATAAGTTTTTAGTAATGGTGTAGTTCGTGTTAGTATCAAATTCTTCCCGGCACGTGTTTATAACTTGGCAAACAAATGCATGTTTTGGTGTTGTTTTTTATCTAAAAGGTCGTGGTTTTACTATTTACATGGACTTTCGCTAATTTTGATGTTAGTTATTATTAAGAGGAATTTTCTACGCTCCTTTGAGCGGCCTGGTTATAACGAATATGATAAATGAGGTTCACTGAGTTTCCAGAGGGTTAATGAAATTGTGGATGAATGAGGATAACAAGAGAGGAAACCGACCACTTTCCTTTGGAATGTAAAGAGATTTCGACGCTTTCAGATGGGCACGTGTGATAATTATCCTTTATTCGTTATTTTATTATTATTCTTTAGTTGTTTAGAAATTTTGGGTCATCCTCTGCGAAAGAGCCTGAGTGAATGAAGCGGAATAAGAAAAAAATTCACAATCAAAAAACTTAGGAAAATAAAAGGTACCAGAATATAAAAGTTAGCGGGCTATTACCACAAAGTTAATCCAAGTAAACAAAGATTTACCACGAGAAATTCCATTTGTGCCACGATTGACCTCAAAAAAAAAAACAAAAAAAACAGATAATTCCAAACGATTTTAAAAACAATTTGGACATATTGAAACGCATATGGAGTGTAAAAGGTTGAGAATAAAAATTATTAAAATTAAAATCGTACATTTGTCATAAGTTTGATCGGACTATATGGCTGCATAATCTATTACTGAGCGTGTACAACTCGAAACAATTATTTTCATGATTTGACACAATTCTTGCAATTTTCTGGGGAAATTAATGATCTAAACGAAATTGTTAAACACATTAAAATGAAAGTTGTATCTCAGAACTTAGTAATTCTATTCTCTTATTCTGACCCAGACCGAAACTTTAACCTGCTCCATCAAACTCACCTCTGGTATTCGCAGAGTTTCGATAGTCAACAGAGTTAATTATGGATCATAAACACCAAATCATTCACTCTTGAGAACTGACTGTCACAACTGCAAAAAGTATGATTAAGTAAATAATGTTGGCCATAAAAAAGATCTGACAGGGCTAAAAATATTCTTGAATTTGTATCTCGAATGAACATAATCTGGGCACATAATTCAGGGCGCAAAATGACTTCGCTAGTTCAACATATTCTCGGAATAACCTTGTCAGTAACAGTTAAAAAAAATTCAAAGAAAATTTACATCGAACGGAGTCCTAACGACTAGATTTGAGGTGATGTACATTTATGATACATATATTCCCGCCCAATTTCCACTTCCAACACCTTCGAATGGCATTAAATTCCATGCATTGCTCAGTGAGAATTGCCATACCAAAAATATGGTGCACAGGGTAGCACTTGGATCAGATAGATTTGTTGATTTATAATTTACAAATTTTAAAGTATAATTAACACAATCTTGGAGTTAAAAGAGAATTAACTTGGAGTATAAAAAAAGGGTCCAACGTACTGTTTCCTAATGTATTTGGACATCTCTATAGCCGGAGAAATTTTTTTTGGAACAGGATGCGTTGTGGTTGATGGAGATAAAATGAAAAATGACTACAAAAGACACGATTGACACCTGCTGCTATCAAAACATTTTAATCAGGATATTGTCTATTTCACGAAACCTTCATTGTCTATGCACCACACGCCATGGAGTAACCAATTAGGTGTTAATGGAAAATCAGAAACACAGATTCTATTACGTTCCCTTAAAATAGAAACGCAACGAGAGTCAGCAGAGTCAAATCGCTTCACATTACCATTCATGTAAAATTACATCTATCACAGACGTTCCTGAAATTCTTTCAATTCCCTTGCAAGGTACAAACTTGACGTTCGACAAAAAAAAGGACAAAATGACAGGGCTGAAAACTAAAGCATAAGAACCTCTTTGGCAAAGCAGAGCCAGGCTTACTTTCTTATGATGAGACTACAGTTAAAGATGTTTTGCTAGCATAGTAGAATGAGGAAAAATCGAGGCTCAGTTTTAAGGTGAGGTCCTTACGGGAAAATCTTTAAATAAGGCCTCACTGTATTAACCAAGCGATGGTGAGGTCAACATGGCAATCTAGGTTACCTAATCTATAACCGGCCCGTGGGTATTACCGCTGTATAATGCTCTGCTCTCGCTCTTAGCCAATCAGAGCACGCGTTATATCGGCAACAATCCTGGGCCATATAATGATACAGGATATCTGATGGAAGCTTATGACAGAACAAAAATCTAAACACAATCTCATCTACTAGAGAGTACTGTATAACTTTCTCTCCCATTATTGGACTATTGTCAACAACAAAATGACGGAAAGGTCCACTTCTAAAGGTTAGTTCTTCTCATTATGACGTAACACCGTATACAATACGGATAATTTTGGACTATAACATGTAGCGTTCGCAAAACCCATCTGATTCAAGCGATTGTTTCCTTTGCGAAGTTTAGCAATCATTCGACGAGTTTGAGCAAAATATCGCGATTCGTAAGTGGTCAGGTTATCATTTATTTGGCTTAAGTGAAGACTGTGGAACATATTCGATCTGCGAGACACTAAACAACCTTATCAAATTTTCAATTTCAGATATCGCATTTCTAGCGTTCTGATTGGTTCACTCAATTGTAGCTATCATCTCATATGCCGCATCACCTAAGATGGAAAATGTTCACCAAGAGTTGCTAAACTGAATTCGTCTTTGGATGGAAGAAAGGAAACAAGCAATGGGAAAAGTAAAACAACTAGTCAATGGAATCTCGGTAAAAAAAAGAGATGCCACAAAAGTACGATATGAATGCGTATCTTTGAAGTTTCAGTTAAAACTTTGCACGTGAAATCAACGTTTAGAGGCTTAGAAAAAGTTGAGCGATGCCACAACAGAAAAAAAAAAAACAGCCGGTTAGCTTCTAAATTTCAGCATGAGTAGTGCACCGAGATTTCTACGCTCTATACCAGGACTTTCAGTTACAAAAGCTCACATTTGAAGTCTGTTTGCGTATAGTAGCCGTAATGTTGGTTTCGCCCGTTTGCCACCACACAGCAAAACATGCAATCCTGTAAATGTGCACAACACTTCAGGATAAACTTGAAGTTTTGTAAATTTAAGCGTATACTTTTCTCAGTAATTTATAACTCGTACCTCGTACACTCCGAGCGAGAGATTGAATTAAGGATAAATTAAGCCGTCC